CTTCTTTATGGGTCACTGATTGCTAGATAAGGAGGTATATTTAGTAATCTAAGATACAGGGTGTTAAACATAATAATGACATAATTGCATACTGACTTTGCATATTATATTATCAGTAAAAGATTATCCTGTTTTCAATAAAAATATTCTCCATTAGTTAGTGGAAAGTGATTCACGTCAACATTTCCTTACCTATACTTGTCCTTAGCTGGTAATGAATTTAGCAGCACTTAAATTCCTATTTGCTATGAATTGAAAGGATGTTGTCCTTGGCTGAGAGCATTGATTTTTCTATCAAATAAAGTTTAGGTAGAATTACTATTTATAGGAGGAATTTCAGGAAGAACTCAAAAGTCATATAAATAAAAGGGATCCCACAGCTTTTACCCTTAAACCAACTAGAAATAATTAATTTTCTATTAATACTTTAAAGTTCACATTGTATGTAATACTTGATATTGAAAACTTTTCTAGTTACTTTTATAGTTTTAAAGTATTTAAAAAAAAAAAAACTAGTGGTATACACAAATCAAATTCCGCTACAAAATAGCTACTAAAAGAAGGGAGGATCATGGTGAGAAAGTACTTCTAGCTAGCTATTAACTTTGTTTATTTAGCTCTTGCTCTATTTCTAAATTCTAATATTATTATAAGTCATAAACCTTGAAAAATGAATGAGATTAGGAAAAAAGTAATAAAAACAATTTTGCCACTTTCATTGATTCAAGAGACATCAGTCCACTAGTTAAACAATGAAACAATTAATCTATAAACAGAATGAATAATATATTTTTCTTTCAATTTATTGGTAATCGATGTTGCCATTTGGCTCATTTTATCTTTGGTAATTGTAATTAAAAACACTGACTTTGTTATTTGGAGTTTTCAGGTGTTCATTAGCTGATAGTTTCTTTTTTGTTCCATCCTGTTGAGAAATTACATTGTTGTGTTTCCGTGGATATTTGAGGAGACAATATTTCACAGGAAAAGTCATGGAGACTGAGTCACAAATGGTTAACAACCGCCTGAATGAACCCAAACTCTAGAATTGAATGAAAAAGAATTTTTGACACAAGTAGTATGTGTGTATATTAGAAAAATTAGAAGACATATAAATATTTTAAAGTACATGAGCATATTTTATATGGCTATGATTAAGGTTTATTACATATTTTCTAGAATCTTCTAGGAAGATTTTTAGGTTAAAGAAAAATAGATATTACTTTAATTTTATAGATTATTTTTACATATTATATAATATGAATATAGAATATTTTAACTTGCTTTTAAAATTTAGTATTATACAAGCATCTTTCTACATCAAAAATGTATTTTAACAACATTATTTTAGTTTTGTTAGGACACTCTAGTTTACTATTTTTAGTTTTCCTTCCTATACATATACTTTTTCAATTCATCTATTATTTTTTTTTGTCTTCTTTTTTTGTTTTCTGTTTTTTTTTTGTTTTTTCCAGACAGGAAGAGGGGACAGGAGAGAGACAGAGAGAGAAAGGTCTTCCTTTTGCCGCTGGTTCACCCTCCAATGGCCGCCGCTGCAGCCGGCGCACCGCGCTGATCCTGGCAGGAGCCAGGAGCCAGGTGCTTTTTCCTGGTCTCCCATGGGGTGCAGGGCCCAAGCACCTGGGCCATCCTCCACTGCACTCCCTGGCCATAGCAGAGAGCTGGCCTGGAAGAGGGGCAACCGGGACAGAATCCGGCGCCCCAACCGGGACTAGAACCCGGTGTGCCGGCGCCGCAAGGTGGAGGATTAGCCTATTGAGCCACGGCGCCGGCTCAATTCATCTATTATTAATACTGCCATTTGATTTAGCAGTCATAGGTTGTAATGTAGACAGATATTCCTTCCATATGGGAATTCTATTCACTGAATACATGTCATTTTCATGTCACTATTTGATACTTTCTCAAGTTCCTTTCTTTCTTGTAATATAAACGTAAGAGAAGTGTAGGATTCAGCAATTTTGTCCCCACAGATCTGCATGTTTTTCTTTGCATTCAGGTGAATCAGTCCAACCCATAGACCTTTGAGGTCTGAGAGTTTAGTCACTTTTATTTATGTTCAATGTGAAGTCCTATCAAAATGAATACAAATCATACAAAATCTTAAATATACAACAAAATGGAGTAAAACATTATATTAATTAAAACTACAAATTTCTTTGGTGTAGCAATTGCTAAAGTAATTAAAAATAAATAGGATTATATTTTTGCTGATTCAAGCTACTATGAATATGGATATATTTTTAGCTTCAAATCATGTAACTTCCCCATTTGTCACTTAGCCAGTTTTTATGGTGAACCTCAGTAGATTAATCGCATGAGATGAGAATTGGTACTTCTTGCGGCATTTTGAGATATCCAGAGAAAAGGGTCTCTATCTGCCCAATGTCCAATTTTGATTTATCCTCATTCCCTTCTGTTCACCTCCCTCATGGCTCACTGAACCACAGGAGAATGAATTTCCTGAAATGGTAACTTTGGCTTTTAAGAAATCACTTTGTGTCAAATCATTCATTATCCCGACACAACTTCTGGTCTTATTCTGCTGTTTCCCAGTTCTGGTGAGTGCCCCAAAGTCCAGGTTTATATTACTAGAGGCAATTATTACTCACAAAAAATTGGAAGAGTCAGTGAGTCTTTTTATCTTTGGAATAATTAGGTGCTTACAAAGCCCGTAAAAACAAAAACCTTTTGGAAAGAGGAATGTTAAGTGGAGGAAAAGGTAACAAGTGTCATTTTTGTGGGCCATCAATTATATACATATATATATACACACACACACATATATGTATGTATTTATATATTATTTTACGTAGGAGAGACAGCACCATTCCTTGTTCTTTTTTCAAATGCATTAGCAATGACCAGAGGGATTTATGTGTTTCCTTTAATAATGATGAATATGATATATGATAATGTTTCCTTTAATAATGATTGGTCTTCATAGCTCTGTTTTTGTGCATTTAAGTGTGAAAATAGATCCATAAACACACAAATACCTTTGTTTCTTTAGCTATTCTAATTTTACTAAGTGAAGAATTTTAAGGGCATTATGATTTCTTTCACGTGCTGATTAGTATACTCTCATGTTTAATATTCTCTTTTTTAATGGAGAGAAATAGTGCCTCACTTAACACCATGATATGAGACACTCTGATATCATTAAAATGAGCCTAGCAGCTGTAAAGATATTTCTGAGCCTTGTTGATGATGAAGTAATCTAGTTTGATGGATGTCTTCATTTCTATCTTAATCACAGCATGCTAGATTAGAGATACATGTGTTTCACTTCAGCTAATTACTCAGAACCCATGCACAAATACAGGGCTTTAATTAATTACCATGAATTTAGGAGGGACCACGTAGAAAGTATCTTGTCTAAGTCTTAGATAAATCTAATGAATGCTATAGAAAACTTCTATTACAGCCTCTTCCAGGTTTACATTTTCTGCTATCATAGTGAAAAGTCTGAAAATATAAGCATGTAGAACATATAGCAATAAATCAGATAATTAGATGATCTAATATCCTGTCTTTAGCTATAGCCATTACCTGAGGGTTAAAAGAAAAGTGAAAAACTATTAGATTAACTGTGCCGTGGTTATAGGAAAAAAGAGAAAGGCCTATGTTCTTACTCATACATTGATCCGCCATTTGTGACCCTCAACATAAATTTTATTAGTGACTATTCTATTGTAGTGGTCGTGGAAAAGTTTATAGATTTAAGATAGGATTATTTTCTCGTTGGTGCTAAAATGCCATGCTCTGAACGCTTCCTGATTACTGCATACTGTGTAAATAAGACATTAGAGTTCTTTCATCATTAAAAGCTAAAAATAATCTCTTGACAGACTCTGGGTTATGGGAAAAGGTCTAAAGTTGGGAACAATCATAGAGTATGAACTATAAAGAAATGGTCCAGAACAGACACATGTAAAATACAAGGCCATTTACGCTTCAAGTTCATTTATCTAAGACCAAGGCTGGCAGATGATTCTGTGTGCACTGGAGAGAATACAGTGGGTTATCATGGATCCTGGAGTTTACACACAAGAGACCTTATAGATACATGACACCAAAAATTAACATAATCATGTGAGAGTCAAAATTTATTAGAGTGGTTGCTGGAAAGAAAAATAAAAATGACAGGAAAGAGAATAGAAAAATGCAGATAAAATTAGGCAAAGATTTTGTTAAAAATTGCAAAAAGACATTACTGAAAGGAAATAATTTTATGGCTGGGCTGCTGTTAATTCACTGTCACAACTCAGATTGAGAATTGCACAAATCTAAAACTAGTAAAAGTATGTCTGCAGCCAGCTTGCACAAGGGCAGTGTTGGAGCTGTGTCCATGAGAGAAGGAGAGACCTATTTTATGCATTTATTTTACAGCTTGTTCCTATTTGGGAGAAGCACTACATTTGTGGAACTGGGAGGAACCTGCTCAAGGTGCTGCACAGGAATTCAAATCAGTGTCCCCCTCTGAAGCAGCGGGCATATTCCTGAGGAGTGACGATGCCTTGTAAATTACACAAATAAATAAACACATGGAGTACCTCGGCAGCAAACCTCCATAGGGGCTTATTTCTCAATAAGGATTAATTTCTGCACTTCGACAGATGATGTGTCCTGATTCCATTCATATCATGCAAAATCTTTACACATCAGAGTATTGGTAACGGGAATCTTAAGATGAGACAAGCTTTCTAAAGAATTGCCTTCCCAGGTTTGCTTTGACTCCCTTGCTAAATGAGCACTTACACACTAGTTAGAGAGAAAGTAAAACAAAAACCAAGAAGCTATCACAGCTTCCAAATCTCTACTCAACAAGGACAACAAAAGGCTTCCACTGAGGACAAACAGGAAAACACCCAATTTGTTTCAGGAGTTAAGTTTACAAAATAGCACTAGCTCAAGGGCTCCTTCTAAAAATCACTGAACAGATGAAAATACTTTGTGAATTGCTGGTGTGTTCCTAGGAAAAACAGCCTGGCTGAAACAACAGTTGCCTTCTGAGTTGTGCTGGAAAAGCCGAATTCCAACATAGTTGCTAGATGAAGCTGTGCAATCCCAGTCTCCTCTTCTTGACAATGGAATCCGGCTTTGGGTAAGTGACTTCATTACTCATCTGTTAGTTATTCTTTGAACAAAAGAAGTTTTGTTGCTCATCCTAGGATCCGAACAGATAAACGTGTAACACCCTTCGCACTAGAGCTTGCGGTCTTGCCAAAACTATGCTGAGAGTGAAGTGTAAGCCGCACAATATGAAAAGACCGGGCTATCAGATTCAGCCACATCCAGTGCCCATGAGCTGCAAAAAAAGCGGCAAACCTTTCCTTCTCCTGAGACAGATCCATTTTAAACTGCAAATTTCCATTTTTCTAAAAATAACATTTCTTATTTTCTAAAAATAAGATTTTCATATTGACACAAGAACAACTTGAAATAAATCACATTATAAAAATGAAAGGCATTTCAGAATATTAAGGCATGAGACAAAATGTGACAGTCATTTTTATGCTGCCAATTATAAAGAATTTTCCAGATAACAAAGGAGCAGTTAAGACACTATTAGGATGCCTATGTCCCATATCGGAGTACATGCATGTGAGTGGATTCATGCATTTGCTGTGGATTCCAGAATTCTTTCTAATGTGTACCCTGAGAAACAATAGGCTCAAGTAGTTAAGTGTCTGCTACCCACAGGGGAGACTCAGACTGATATCCCAGCTCTTCACTTCTGCCTGGGCCAGCCCTGGCTACTGCAGGCATTTGGGGAATTAACCAGGAGATGGAAGATCTCTGTCTCCGTAATTTTAAAGAAATAAAATAAATGCATTTAAAGATCGAAGAAAAAGTCATTTGTTTCTACTATACATTTGACTAATAAATGAAAGAAACAGTTGTAAAAATGCAAATCCTCAGAGACAACAAAAACAAAGCAAGGTGGATTTCCCATACTACATGTTCAGAAACCGGGAAATGTAGGAAGGCTTACTTGTATACCAGAACCATGTTACTGGTGGTACTTTAGTCTTGATTCAAGAGTATTTAAATGTTTTAGAATGAGATAATTAAAAACCATGCTTAGTTGTTGGCTCTATTTTTATGATTTAATGCCATCATTTATCTTTATAAAATACTGAAAATTTAATTGTGTATTCAGAACTAAAACTCATTCTCTGTTTTGAGAGTGCAGGGTTTAGCACTAACCGTGTCTTTTTGGGAATTTCTACTTTATTTTTTTTTTTTTTTTTTGTAAATCTCTTGCTTATATACACACATAGAATGTGAAGACATTATCCAACATTTATATTTCTCTTAGAAAAATTTTTGTTAGCCAACATGCAGAAGTCATTTAAAAGGGGAATATCTATCTCTATAAACACACACGTACACACGCATTTTTATTTTATGCTCCCATTAACCCAAGTGAGATTAGAAATCATATCTGTTTTTCATTTGAATTTGTTGCTACCCTATTTTTGTTGTTGATTATCTAAAAATAATAGTCAATAAAAATTTGTTGCATTTTCAAAACTACTTAAGTATTACATACTTAAAATAATGACCAATACTGGAGAGTAATTTCATTTAATTTCAAATATCATAGACTTTAAAACAAAAGATTTATTTATGTATTTATTTGAAAGGCAGAGTGTCAGAGAGTGAAAGAGAGATATCTCCAGTCAACTAGTTCACTCCCCAAATGCCTGTAACAGCTGGAGCTGGGCTAAGCTAAACGTAGGAGCCAGGAACTCCATTTGAGTTTCCCACATGGGTGGCAGGGCTCCAGGTATTTGGGCCATCCTCTGCGGCCTCCCAGGTGCATTAGCAGGAAGCTGCGTTGGAAGCAGAGGTGGAACTCCATCTCAGACACTTGAATATAGGATGCTGACGATCCAAGCAGCAGCGCAGCCGGCTACGCCACAACACCCGCTCTCTGTGTTACCTTCATTTTAAAACCATTGTGACAGTGTTGCTCAGTCAATCTATAGTTAAAAAGAAACCACTTCCACCGGTGCCCCGGCTCACTTGGCTAATCCTCCGCCTGCTGTGCCAGCACCCCGGGTTCTAGTCCTGGTTGCTCCTCTTCCAGTCCAGCTCTCTGCTGTGGCCCAGGAGGGCAGTGGAGGACGGCCCAAGTGCTTGGGCCCTGCACCTGCATGGGAGACCAGGAGGAAGCACCTGGCTCCTGGCTTCGGATCAGTGCAGCTCGCCAGCAGTAATGGCCATTTGGGGGGTGAACCAACAGAAGGAAGACCTTTCTCTCTGTCTCTTTCTCTCACTGTCTAACTCTGACTTTGAAAAAAAAAAGAAAAAGAAAGAAACCGCTTGAATTGAAAGGTGGTCTTGTTCTTAGATTTAGATAATGTTGGATGTTGTCCTTCCTAGTTTTTTAATTTCTCCAGCACAGAGGGAAAAGAAAGCTTAGTTAGACTAAGCAATATAAATTAGCACAGTTTCTTGTCTACCTTGTTTGTTTAATGTGTTTCTGCAATTGGTAATGGGAATTTTCCTCCGATAACTGAGGTCAAGGGTAGCAAATTCCAATGCAACAGGGGCCAGGCATGTAAGTCACCTCTGGCATTGCTGAGTTGGTGTAGATTTGAGAAACAAGGTCAGCACACTCTTCATACACATATTTAAATTGTCCTCATTTTTAAAAACATCATGCTCTGGCCGGCGCGGTGGCTCACTTGGCTAATCCTCTGCCTGTCGTGCCGGCATCCCACATGGGCGTCAGGTTCTAGTCCCGGTTGCTCTCTTCCAGTTCAGCTCTCTGCTGTGGCCTGGGAGGTCAGTGGAGGATGGCCCAAGTGCTTGGGCACCTGCACCTGTATGGGAGACCAGGAGGAAGCACCTGGCTCCTGGCTTCGGATCAGCGCAGTGCGCCGGCTGTGGTGGCCATTTTGGGGGTGAACCAACGGAAGGAAGACCTTTCTCTCTGTTCTCTCTCTCACTGTCTAACTCTATCTGTCAAATTAAAAAAATTAAAAAAAAAACATCTTGCTCTTCAAACAAAACCATTTGTCTCCCTCACATTTTAGGCACGGGGCCTGTATTAAAATGAACACACAACAGTCATTCTCCAGTGTGAAAAAGGTAGCACCAGAATGACTTGGTTACTTTGTGAATGCAAATTCCTGTTTGCACTTGGAAATTTTCACTCTGTGGACTTAGGAACCCATATTTTTATGTACAGACAAGTTCATATTTATTAGGAACTTAGTGTTAAAATAATAAGGTATGTATTTTAAAAAATCAGTCATCAGAAATGACAGTGAGTAACTAAAGAAGTAGTATTTGCTGAAATGAGGAGTATCAATGTGAGGCAGTCCTATTGTTTTCATATTAGCTCTATTCTTATATGTGTTGCATTTTGGCTTTTGCTTTTGTAAAATATGGACACAATTTACAATAGCGATCTATGAAAGAAGTAATTTGAGCAGAGGAATTATTAACCTTTAGGATTTATAGTACTGAGCTGATCTGAACCCAGGAGCTGCTTCTGGGTCTCCCCTGTGGGTTCAGGGGCCCAAGGACTTGGACCATCTTCTGCTGCTTTTCCAGGTGCATTAGCAGGGAGCAGGATCAGAAGTGGAGCAACCAGGACTTGAACCGGTACCCATATGGAATGGAGGTGCTGCGGGCCAGAGCTTTAACCCACTGTGCCACAGCTCTGGCCCCTAAGTGAGAGCTTCTTAGAAAGACATTGGTTACAAATACTGCCCCTTCCCTGAGAAGCATATGTTAAATGACCCTTAAAAAATTAATTCCTCTTTCCCACTATTTCAAGGCTGATATTAGTAGGCAGTTGCTCAAGCTGTATTTGTTTTCTTAATCTGCTACCTTTTATGCCAATGATATTTGATAAAGAAAACCTTCTACTCGAGTGATGCAACACACTAGTCTCACTTGCCTTTCCTTTTCCGCTTGAGCTGCTTGCCCTGTTGCAACCGTGTCTTCAGTTTATCACCCTCAGACCGCCAACCATGCCTAGCCCCTGAAACAGCAGGTCAGTGTTATTTCAACACCTTCCTGTTCTCACAAGCTAGGTCCTAGGTGAGACCTGGAAACCCTGCAAAACTAAGCTTGGCACCACGAGGAGCAGAGTTCCTGCAGCAGGGGCTGCTTTGCCAGAAGGATCTATCTCAGAATCAAGAGGGTTGGGGCAAGAAGCGTGGGACAGAAGTCTGAGCAGCCTAGATCAGCCTGCGAGTGGAAGTCAGGAAGGTAGATGGGTGCCAGGGTCTAGAAGAAAGACTCGAGTATTCGGAAAGTGTTGGGGAACTCAGAAAGTCTTTCAGGGCTAGAGCAGCTATGAGCCTGTGCTAAAATCAAGCAGAAGCACAAGAGGCAAGGCAGAGATCAAGAGCGGCCACACCGCCGTCTATCTTAAGAGTTAAGCCAAGAACCTAGTTTTTAGAAGTGAGGTGTAAGGTCAGGATGAGACTTGGTGCTGAGCTTTCTCCTGGGATTCTTAAAATCTTCCTGACTGGCATCAAGGATTTGTCCCAGAATTGGATGCCAGAAATCAGAATTTAGTTGACCTGTTCAAGATCACAAGCTAATTAGTGCTGGGGCCAAAATTAGATCCCAGGATTTCAGTTCTCAGAATAGGGCTCTTTATGCCATGGTCCGAATGAACCAGAAATGCAGAGAGATAGACTTAATTGTTTTTGACATGTTAATTTGCCACTGTGGCTTCATAATGACAAAAAGAATTGATAACAAGAGTCAGAATACTGGAGGAATAAACTGAAGCAATTCATAGGTATATCTAGTAAAAATATACATACATTTGTCTTGGAAAGACTCAAACTTGATTGGTTTTTCTGATTATTATTTATAATCTCTGTGAGTTGATTTAGAGGAATTCATTATGGGTTATTAACAATTATAGTATTTTCAGATCAGAAAATTTCACACTAAGGATATTATTGAATAATACATGTTTCTATGTTTCCACCTTACTTACATGTTTTTCTGTATTTTTATTTTATTTGAAAGGCAGAGAGGAAGGGAGAGAGGGCAGTGAGAGTGAGATCGAGAGAGAAGGAGACACACAGAGAGATTCCATCCACTGGTTCGTTATGCAAATACTTGCAACAGCCAGGCCTGGGCCAGGCCAAAGTCAGCAACCCAGAGCTCCAGCCGAGCCACCACATCCATGGCAGGGGCCCAAGTACTTGAGCCATCATCTACTGCTTCCCAGAGTGCATTAGCAGGAAACTGGATCAGAGCTAGGGAGCCAAGACTCAAAAGGGCACTCAGATATGGATGGGAGCCTGGCGTGGGAGGTGGTGGCTGAATTCTCTGTGCCATAGCACCCACTCATTTTTTTCTTTCTTTTATTTCCTTTGCAGTGGTTTAAACTTTGTTGTTCTTTCAATACCTTAATTAAAACGTATTCAATTAAAAGTTTATACAGGATAATCTCTTCTATTAGTTGAAATTTAACCATGAATCCAAAGTTATTAATATTCTATCTAGTCATAATTGCATTTATATATTCTAGGTTTAGCCTTATAACCTTTAAAGTTAGCATCAACCCCTCTTGTCTACCTTGAAATTATTTATCTCAATCTTGCACAGTTGATATAAAATGAACTAATCTGTTACCAAAACAAAAAAGCAAGGAATATTTCAAAATTGTATGAAATTTATCGGATATTGGTATTCAGTAATGAATTGCATAATTGTACCACAGCTGCCTTGGGTATCTCTGGATTTTGTTTGTATGCAGAATTCTTTTTTAAACTGCTGACTCATGGAGCTTTCTTGACTTCATGGACTCAGGACACTGATTTCCCGTTTTGTTGTATTGCACAGAACCACCCCGAAGAAGTGAGCTGGACACTAAATGGAGCTAGAGACTGAGTGCTGAGATCAGCATGGCTACAGGAGGCTGCAAGTGTGGGGACTTGGAGAAAGGCCAAGGTAACCGGAAACAGGGAGAAGTTTTTGAGTGAATTTCTACCACTGACAATAGGGAGTCTGGCAAAGCATGGTAATGGGAATTTGTTGATATGTTTTTAACCACCCAGGGGATAAAATGCATGTCATGTCCACAATTGGGAAAAAAATATTTGAACTAACAAGAGAGAAAAGTGTACAGTATTATGTAGTGCTATCTGTATCCAAGTTGAAGTCTAAACCCTCACTACTAAGAATGTGATTCTAGAACTAGCAACCTCAGCACCAAATGAGATTTTATTAGAAATGCAGACTACGGAGGCCCAATGTAGACATACTGAACTGAGACCTTACCATTATCCTCAGGGGAATGGCTCCTGGGCCCCAGCCTAGACAGACTGATGTAAGATCTGCACCACTGCCCTCCAAGTAGCGTGCACCATCATGTTTGGGGAAAAAAACTTAGGGAAACTGTTTCTTGACATTAACATGAATAAAATATACAAACATTATGGAAGTTACTTAGAGAATGTCCCTTGAAGTTTGAATTTTACAGTTTAAAATGATGGGAACCTGTTAAAAATCTTATCAAATTTTTTTAAACTTGTTCTCTCTCAATTTTCTTCTTGTAAAATATTTAATTATCAAGGCATTTATGAAATATGAATAGGTATAAGCACCTCATTAAGTGTCTTATTGTAATGCAAAAATGTTTTAGTTTTTAATGTATTTACATAAACTATGAGCTTGCTTTTTAAATTGTAATTGCCTTACTTCTCAGGTTTTGTTTTTGGATGACATGTTTTCTTTCACATTATTTTTCAGGATGTGTGAATAGAAAGCATTGGAATTGATTTTAAAAATCCTACTAGCTGGGTAATGTTCTCTTTTTTCTTCTTCTTTTTTTTTTTTTGAAGCCAGGAGCCAGGTGCTTCTCCTGGTCTCCCATGCGGGTACAGTCCAAGCACTTGGGCCATCCTCCACTGCCTTCCCCGGGCCACAGCAGAGAGCTGGACTGGAAGAGGAACAACCTGGACAGAATCCGGCGCCCCGACCGGGACTAGAACCCCAGGGTGCCGGCGCTGCAGGCAGAGGATTAGCCAAGTGAGCCTTGGCGCTGACCCTCTTTCTTGATGTGTATACTAGTTATGTGGGCATTTTCAGTTTCTGAAAATTAATTGAGTGGCATGCTCTGGACAAACACACACACACACACACACACACCCCTAAACTTGTTTATGTGCATATGTATCAGACATTTCAATTATAATTGTTATTCAATTAAAAAACACTTAATAAACCCCTCAATAAGCATTTCAATTACAGAAGAAACTTACATCAACAGAGCATACCCACAACCCTTAGAACACAAATCATATGAGACTTTATGCACATCCCCTGAATGGTGAAATTTAAATTTATTTTACATCTATCACACATACCTGATTTTATCTTATTTTATTTTACTCATTATCCAACTTAACTCAATTACTCATTAGTCTTGGTTGCAAATGGCTTTAATGTTGAACAAGAAAATTCAAATCCACCTCTAAAGCAAACTTTTGTCATAGAAACAGATATTCAAAGAATGTTCTGCCAGCACAGAAAGCAATTCCCAAATTGCACTCCAAAAAACACTGGGGGCAAGAGCCTTATCAGCGAGGTAAACGTCTGTCTCCTCGGGTGACTGCTTCCAGCGAATTTATGTTCACTTTGACATCTCTAATTTCAATATATTTGCTAAAATATTTATTTTATTACCTTAAAGGGTATCAGTTAGCTGAAGGAAGGAAAAAAGTTAAAATTCAAATTGTTCCTATTTTCCCTTTAATTTAAGATGAAAACCCGAGGCATAGGTAGAAACAGAGTAAAGTAGTTCCCTATAAAAATGATGGAAGGTTCTAAGTCAAATTGGCCATTGGAATTAAAGCCACCATCATGTTTCATCAAATATTAGGACTCAGAACCAAGGGTTTTCATTATACACAGGGTACGAAGTACTTTATAAATCACCATATCTGCTGACATTCAATTACCTTCAGTCTTATTAATATGAACTACAGAGTGTTTTTAGGTGTCTACCGGCAGTAAAACCAGTCTTTTCATTAAAAAGGCTTGGCTTACACCCATTGCCTAAAAGTTCACATAACACCTTTAAACATCTAAGATATAAATGTTGATTACTTTCAAATGTTTCAAACTACAGATTAACTACTTTAGAAAAAAAAATCCTGTCCATATATATGCCCGGGGAATTATTAAAATATGATGACAAATCTTGCACAAATCAAACAGTGATTTCTCTCTTAGTCCTTCTACAACTCTTTTTATTTTGTGCCATAATATGTTGTTATGAGTGAGCCTGGTGAATTAGCAAAATATTTTGAAATCTCCAGAAGAGAAAAGACTTGTCTTCCTTCTTGTAAGTCTACAATAATGGCTCCTATGCAGAATGATACGATTTATATCTTGCCATTCTCACACTTGCAGATAACAGGGCCTCATTTTTTCCCCCATTTTTTGCATTCTCTTCCACCTGAAGAATCCTGATGCAAACCTTTTAGACTGGAAAGGTGAAGCCCAGACTGTATGCAACTGCAAAACTGTAAGATTCCCCTATACCCAGAATTGTGATGCAATGCTTTTGGGTCACACCCAGATGTGTTGTTGTTGTTGTTGTTAATATCTCTATTCCAAATGCAGTCGGGATTGAGAAGCACTCCTAGATCACAGCTGTTGGGACTGGAAATGCCACTGCGTAATTTTGCAGGTGATGGAAGAGAGGGGAAATATCTCTGGAGCCGTGCTTGAGACGACTAGGAATTTTATGAACCTATGAATCACATGATCCTTTGATATCTATTTATATACATAAACTGTAATATATATAAATATTTGTTTTTATATATATACACACATCCTTGGATGCATATTTATACCCTCTATTTACATATAAACAAATTTATTATTTCAATTTGGTTTTAAATAATTTGTTTAGAGGGCAGGTGTTTGCTCTGTGGTTAAGACACCGCTTGGGGTGCCTGCATCCTGTATCATTGTCCGGGTGGGAGTCCTGGCACTGCTTTCAGTTCCAGATTCCTGACAACACACACATTTGGGAGGCAGCAGATGACAGTTCAAGTACTTGGGTCCCTGCCACCCAAGTGTGAGACCTAGATTGAGTTCTGGCCTCTTGGTTTCAGCCTGGTCAAACCCTGTTTGTTGCAGGATTATGGAGAATGAACAAGCAGATGAGAGCCCACTATCTGTATGTCTATCTCTGTATCTCTGTCTTTCAAATTAATAATAATAATTAAAAAAACCAAGATAATCTGTTTAAAACAATATGCTTCAAATCCTAAAAGTACTCTTTCAGGTATGCAAGCACCTTAAATCAAAAATATTTACACATGTCCACAAGGCGGCGCTAATGACCTGCGAATGTAAGTGGTGTAATTCAGAATAAAAATTAAATTGACAATCAAATATTTGTACATGTTGCAATAATTTGCTTCAGCAATTCTTCTCCAGAAACAAAAGGTTATACTTTATAATGACAGAAATATAGATTGCTTTCTAGGCCTTAAAAATAATTTCTGTGTGCCCACAATACAGTTAGGAGTTCTCTGGAAAATATTTTCTTGCGGATATGTTACTTAAAATTTCTAATTCAAGTGCTTGAATGTTGCCATAAACTGATCATTTAAACATATCATAAGTTGTGTAGATATAATTTTTTCAATGTCTAATATAAAAATAATTTTCAATGCCTAATTTATTTTCTATAAAAAATTAGTTTCACCAGATCAAAAAGTAATTTATTTTTCCTGTGACTATGAATTACTCAAAATAGATTTTATTCATTTTTTTCCTGAATTTCTGAAACTCAAAACATGCTCAGAGTTAAAAAATATTTAAAATTTTTTGGTGGCTTTCCAAATTTGAGGAGATAAAACACTTTACTTGTTTTGGATTTTAAATAGTAAATCATTTTTGAAGTTTTAACTTTATAGTGAAAGAGCATTCTAAAATACAAACACACAAAGTATCTGGAATTTTCTCCAAATAAACATTATGAGTATCTTTTGCTTATTTATTATTTATTTATTTGATTGGTAGAGAGACAGAGAATCTGAGACTAAGAGAGATCTTCAATCTGCTAGTTCACTCCTCAGTTGTCTGCCACAGCTGGGGCTGGGCCAAGCCAAGGCGGGAACAAGGAGCTGCATCCAGGCCTCTCACATGGGTAGCAGGGACCCAAGTACCTGAACCATCACCTGTTGCCTCCCAGGGTGTGCATTAGCAGGAAGCTGGAATGGAGATCAGAGATAGTGAAGAAAGGATAATTCCTATGCAGGAAGCGCGAGATTTAGTGAGTTTAAAGGCATTGCTGCAGCGCAAATTAAGGGACTTGTTACTTCGCTCTTCCTACTCCCAGTGCCTCCTTCTTATCTAACAGGATGAAAGGTTTTCCAATATGGAAAGTGTCAAAGCATCTTACCTTTTGAGCAACAGACTTTTAAAATCAATATATTTATTTATTTGAAAGGTGAAGTTACAGAGAGAGAAGGAGAGACTGAGAGAGGTCTTTTATCCCCTGGTGTACTCCCCAATGGCCACAATGACCGGGAATAGGCCAGGCTGAATCCAGAAGCCAGGAGCCTCCTCTGGGTCTCCCACATAGGTGCATGGGCCCAGGAACTTGGGCCATCTTCCGCTGCTTTCCCAGACCATTGCAGAGAGCTAAATCAGAAGTGAAGCAGCCAGGACTTGAACCAGCTGCCCGTACGGATGCTGGTGCTGCAGGCCATGGCTTAACCCATTACGCCACGGCATTGGCCTGAGCAACAGAATTTCTACCCAACAGGCAAGTTTGTAAAGCAAGCATGAGTTTGGTTTCTAATGCGGGTCCTTCTGGACATTTGGCTCTTTGGTAAAAGATGATTGTGAGAGGAGCAGAGCAAAGCCTTTGGGCCAAACCACGAAGCCTTGATTTTTTAGTATCCCAAGAACAGTTTCTGCTCAGCCTGGGAAAACCTCCTATCCCTCAATCCTGCAGTTGTCCAGAGCACCAGAATCAGAGAGAACTCTGAGGTACTGCTTCCCCGTGGAAGATCTTCAAAGGCCTCTGAGACTTCAAACCCTCCCCTGCACGCATCCTTTGTAGTACCATTCATCTCCATTTCATTGTTTTCCATTTATTATCACATACAAATGTATGTGCATTTCTATTTATGACACCTAGGCTGCATTCACTTTGAGATGGGTCTGTGGATCAAGAAATTAAAAATAGTTAAAAGCTTCAGAGATGAGGCCGAATGTAATTGGTAATAAAACCAGAAATTTCTGGCTGCTGCTGACCTCTGCCTCTTGCAGAGTTAGATGCATAAATGTCGCTCAGTCTACTGTCAGGCTCCTAAACTAGGCTCCGGATTCTTGCTGCCTGATCTCATCAACATCGTTATTATCATTTCAGCTTATTTATCTGAGAAGCAGAGGGACACAGAAGAAAAAAGAAAGAGATACAGAACTCCCATCCGCTGGTTCACTCCCCAGATGCCTACAACAAATTCTGGGCCAAAACCACAAGGCAAGAATTCAGTCCAGCTCTCCCACGTGGGTAGCATCACCCTTGCCCTGGAGGAAGTGTTTTAGCAGGAAGCTGGAATTAGGAGCTGGAGCCAGATCTCAAATGTGTGATATAGGCATGCTAATTAGCGTCTTTAACATCAGGCCAAATGCCTGACACTTGCCCTCATTCTTGGGTCCTATAAGTTTGGTTATGTGCCTAGATCCCTTTCCCTTTACAGCTGAGTCTTGCAGTCTGTGCTCGGATTTCACCAGCCTGTTTTGTCATCTGCTCATTGGGTCCTACGGATGCTTGTTTAACTTGACTTGAAATCACTCAGTTGGGTGTGGATGCTTCCCAGACCAACACAATACCTGTCCTCCACCTTGATTATCCAGTCTTGAACTAATACAACTTGATTTTTAAAATAGATTTATTTTATGTATTTAAAAGACAGAATGTCAGAGAGGGAGGGAAAGAAAGAGAGAAAAAATCTTCCATCTGCTGGTTTTCTCCCCAAATAGATGCAATGGCCAGGGTTTGGCCTGGCCAAAGCCAGGAGCCTGGAACTCCATCAAGTTCTCCACATGAGTGGCAGGGGCCTAAGCACTTGGTTCATCTTCTGTTGCCCTTGCACGTGCATTAGCATGGAACTGGAGCCATTATTTGGGCCACCACCTGCTGCCTCCCAGATGTACATCATCAGGAAGCTGGATCCCATGGGGGCATCACAAGCATCCACTTAACACCCACCCTAGTATATGTTCAAGAGGCATTTGGCTAAAGCCTATTATTTCCTTCTAGACCATATTTAATTTTTGTTCTTATCCACATCTATGAGGCCTTCATGATTTACATAGCTAATGCAATTAAATTGTATACCTGTGAATTATAATTCTGTGTGTGTAATGTATTTATTAGGAGACTTCAAACTTTGTCTCTTCTATAAGACAGTCAATATGTAAAGTATATTAAGAGATTCACAATAACCATTTGGAAGTCATTACTGGCAGTGCTCAGTAGCAATACAGTATGGTTACAAACACATCTATATATTTTTTACTATCTTGTTGTGTGCAGTTGTCTACAAGAACAAATTCTCCAAGTTTAATAAGGAAAAATTCATTGCTAATTAGATTTACAAAACTGTCTGGAAACTAATGGAAGAAGGAAGAGGGGACAATTAGCCCAAAATTATCCATGAAATCTTTACTGCTATTATATAAGGTGCCTTTTCAATTTATTTTTTATAGTGTTTTTTTTACAATAGTGCTTTGCATAATAGGTAAGTACTCACAAAAATAAGTGGTGAGAAAAGCTTAGGATGGACTTCTTAAGTAAGTAGGGTCTCTCCATCTTGAATATTTTAGATACAATTATACGTATCACCTAATTTTAAAATTTCTATCATAGTACTGGAAAAAGAAAACCTATTTAGAACTCTGAAATAAGTGATACCGCATTTCGTCAGTAGATGTCACTGTTGTCATTTTCTACAGGTGTGCTGAGTCAGTGGGCTGAACTCAGTTGATGTACACATGTTTTATTCAAGGCAGGACCATCACACAAGGACCGTCACACAAGAATCAATTTTGAAACTCTTTATTAATTTGAAATGACATCAAGGCTTTTTTCCCCCACTTTGGTTGAAAAGAAGAAACGTTTCTCCCACCTTTGCTATTAACTGCTATCTTCCAAGAGTCTGGAATTCTTTCATGTATAATGTTCTGTTGTAAAATGATTTCAGTGCTTCTGCTGGTACAACAGAACAAAGTCTGTTCCGTACATAAATGAAGCAGAGAAAAATGTATCTCTTCCTGATAAGGGTAACAAGGCTCTCTGTCCATGTTTGATATTGATTATCCATCAAGAGCATTATATGTGCAACATGAGATTGATCATAAAGGTTAGCGTCAACTCCAATTTCTTTGGGGAGCTGATCTGTATTCATATTTTCCTACACATTGTTTAAATTACTTCTCATCAACTCTTTTGTCAGTCCCAAATCCCCTTGTTGGTACTGTTATTCTAAAACAAACAAAACAATACTAGCAAGGACAAGTAAACCTTGGTTCATTACTTTTCTCTGCAAAGGATGTGCTACTTCTATTGTCCCACTTAATACAGATTCAGCCATTAGTCACTAATGGATTAGTGGCTTGAAAAGGTAGATGTTATTGAAAGACACAAATGGATTTCTAAGCATTTTTCTAAAAAACTACTTGCTAATGTTCCTTTCATAAGAGCAGTGAAGCTTGTCAATCCTTTCCATTTTTTTTTTTTATTTTGGTCCAATCAAAAAGATAAGGTTTGCCAGCTTAAAATTTTCATTTTGCTTGTCTTAGGAATCTGGTTTGCCTTCCTAGGATTTTCATAGGTGATTGATGGTGTGAAGTAAAGCACTGATAAAATATAATTTGGAAACAACTCTCGGGAGATTATCTCTTCTGTTTTGTTTGCTGTTATGCTTCTGTCTAACTCAGAAAATTGCTGATTATTATATTTGATTGTGTGTATACTTATGTGACTTTCTTCAGCATACTTGGGGTTTCATTCATTTGCTACAAAGATATTTATTCCAAGTAATTTAGGGATATATGGTGTACCATTATGTGGGCTTTTGGCCTAATAATTAGAACTACCATGTCCCACGTCTTGGAGTACCTGGGTTTTATTCCAACTCTGGGTTTTGACTTCAGCTTCCCACTAATGCAGTCCCTGGAAGGCAATAGTGATGACTCAAGTAATTGACTTCCTGCCAACAACGTGGAGACCTGGATTGAGTTCCCAGCTCCAAGCTTTAGCTTGGCCCAGCCCTGGCCATATAGGCATTTGGAGTGAAAATCAGCAGACGTGAGCTTGCTGTCTCTATCTGTCTCTCCCTGTCTCTTTCTGCCTCTCAAATAAACAAAAAGAACTCCTCTATTCATTGTATCTTATGTACTACCAAGTAGAGCCAAGAGAAAAAGCTAAATATTATAGATCTATCTGCCATTTTCATATTTAGACAGTAATGGTATAAATACAGGTGGAACATATTTTATGAAAGCAAAGAAATCCAACAGTGCATTTTGTTTATATGCCTGTCACCATTTGACTCAACTACCCTGTAGGTATTGCTGAATCAGGACCAAATGTCCAACTGGTTTTAGAGGCCAATTAGCTTGTAATTTGTGCTGAATATTTCAGCCATATTGCTAATTATAGCTATTGAGACCATATGATCTCTAATTTCTGTTTCTGTTTGGTTTGAGTCAATCAGATTCAAGGCTTTTCTTTCTTTCTTTCTTTCTTTTTAAAATTAGAATCCAAGTAAGACAAGACCTTTTTTGGAAGTATGTTAATTTAAAACTTTTACTTGCTGAAAATTTTAAACATTACTTTGAACATTACTTTGTTTAACTGTTCTCTCTGGTAATGTTGCATATGAATCATAATGTTTATCATCAATTTTCATGTGAATATTACAAAGTGTTTCGGGAAATAACAGATGTAACATAAAACAAAATGGTGGCAGTTTGTTTTTGTAGATTTCAGATCTATTACCTTGAAATATTTTGCAGTACCATACTTTATAATTAATTTTAATTTTCAACAGTCTTAAAATGTAAGAGCTAATATGGATGCAAAAATCTAAGCACAAAGAAAACTATTGCACACCTTATCTCTGTGAATGTTTTAATGTTAGCTGTCTGACTGTAAGTCAGATCACATAGGCCTATGTGTTTTCCTCAGGGTCAAGGAATGTTATTTTTAATAGAGATTTATTCATTTATCTATAAGGAAGGAGAAAGAAGGAGAGAGAAAGAGAGAGAAAGAGAGAGAAAGAGAGAGAGAGAGAGAGAGAGAATCTTTCATCTTCCAGTTACTCCCTGAGTGTTCTCAACAGGTGGGGCTATGCCAGGAGCCAAGAACTCCACCGAGGTTTCCTACGTGGGTTGCAGGAACCCACGTACTTGGGGGCCATCATCCACTGACTCCCAGATTTATTAGCAGGAAGCTCGATGGGAAATGCAGAGTAGTGGGGGCTCGGCACTCCACTTGGGGTTTGGGTATCCCAAGCTACAGCTTCACTGGCTGCACCACAATAGCCGCATCTTTGCCCACCACGAATTGCTGCATGTTCTACCCAAGTTTATGTGTGGCTCATCAAATATTTCATTAAAGCTTTAAACAGGTTAGTTGGACCCTTGATAAGTCTGACAATTCATTCTTCAAAGTTTAACCTGCCAGGGGCTAACTAATCAGTTTGTCTTTTTTTTTAAAGATTTATTTTATTTATTTGAAAGAGTTACAGAGAGAGGTAGAGAGAGAGATATATATAGAGAGAAGTCTTTCAATTGCTGGTTCACTTCCCAGATGGCCGCAATGACCAGAGGTGCACCTATCCGAAGCCAGGAGCCAGGTGCCTCCTCCTGTTCTCCCATGTGGGTGCAGGGCCCA